AGTTTGGCTTAGTTGTAAACCTGGAATATTCCCCAAATTTCACATTCCCCATCACCCTATGTATCTAGTTCTTCTCCTTCACCTCCTAAAAATCATCCCAATTTGCCTGCTTCTTCTTACTTCTCATTTCTCACCTGAATTATTTCAGGTGCCTCTAACATGTGTCTTCCTTGCCAGTGTGACCAACAAATATTAATAGACCTTCTGTCATGGCGAGCTTTCCAAATTGCAATCTGATCCAGTCTCTCTTCTGATGAAATCCTTCTATTTCCATGTCTTTTTTAGGAAAAATCCCAATAGCTAATTATTTCTTATAAAATTTTCAAGAATCTTACCCTTGCACACTCATTCTACTTTGTTTCCTACCATTCTGTCATTGGCTTTCTCTCTGTTGAGATAATCTGCACTTGTAGTTTCTTGACCTTGCTATGCGACTCATGCCTGCATGGGTTAATCATGGATGAGCCTCTGCATGACTCACTTGTTCCCTTTCCCTCCCTTTCCTTAGCTTTTCTTCTGCTCCTTCATAACTCATTTCTGAAAGTGCTCGGTTGAGCCCTAGTGTCTGGTTATGAGCCCTCTGCTGGGCACCTCTAACCTTGAACAACACCTACCATGCTGTGCTCTAGTTTTGAATCCACCACTGGACCTAGACCTTCTTGAAGATAAAAACTCTGTCTCTCCTATATGTATCCTTCGTACTTGTCATATATTAGCTATCCAATACACATTTATTAGATTAGCATTTAAGTTTTACTCTATTTTTTCAAAATTCCCTTGGGATTTTACCAAAAATCTTCTCACTTTCTAGGTTTGCATCCTTGAATGATCTAAGACTCAGAGATTTGTTTCTCCTTTTTAAACTTCAATTAAAAAATAACATATAGGGCACCTGGGTGGCTCAGTTGGTTGAGCGTCCGACTTCAGCTCAGGTCATGGTCTCTGGTCCATGGGTTCAAGCTCCACATCAGTCTCTCTGCTGACAGCTCAGAGCCTGGAGCCTGCTTTGGATTCTGTGTGTGTGTGTCTCTCTCCCCCTCCCCTGCTCACACTCTGTCTCTCTCTGTATCTCAAAAATAAAATAAAATGTTAAACAATTTAAAAACTAACATATAAATATAATTTCCATTTTTTGCAAGAAGCAAACACAGTTGAAATTATATTTTATAAAAGCTCAGGGAAGTGAGGGTGTTGAGGGAAGGCTAAAGGGAGAATAGGAAGAAAAGGGGATTGTTTATTTTTCAACTAATATGTACCATATACTTTCTTGGACATCTTTACCTACTCACACCCAATAATGTCCCAGTCAGCCTCCTGAGGTGGATATGATGACCGCCATTTTAATAAAAATAAGTTTGAAGCCCAGAGAGGATAAGAAGTTGGTCCAAGGCCACATACCTTGTAACTTGTGAGGTCAGAGTGTAAAAAGAAGTTCCCCAAAACTACGTCGCATTATGTCTGAAGAGAAAATACATGATCTGAGCACATAAACTAAATAAAAGAAAATATGTCTCACAGGATATAGAAAACAGTGAAGGGATAAAAACTGTAACTATTCTTGGGGTGCCCGGGTGGCTCAGTCGGTTAAGCACCCGACTTCGGCTCAGGTCATGATCTCACGGTTTGTGGGTTCCAGCCCCGCGTCGGGCTCTGTGCTGACAGCTCGCTCAGAGCCTGAAGCCTGTCTTTGGATTCTGTATCTCCCTCTCTCTCTCTGACCTTCCCCTGCTCATGCTGCCTCTGTCTCTCTCTCAGAAATAAATAAAACATTTTAAAAAAATTTTAAACTGTAACTATTCTTATTTTTGAAATAAGAGGTGCCGTGAAACAGTTAGATGCAAATGATCCAGGTATTCTATCCTAAATCCTAGAATTCTAGGAAAGTCTTATCTGGAGAAACACCGTTTAGAGGAAACTATTCACTCGACCTTCAAGTTTATGCTATGCCCATACTCCCAGTCATTGTTTCCTCTTGTCCCCATCAGAAAGTCTCATGGAGCTTTGAGATCCAATGGAAGACAATATGCTGAATAATCCCATGTGGAAACGAAACTTTATATTCTAACCAGAATTGACATTCTAGGTGGTTCATCTCCCTCTCTGGGAAATTTTGTTAACTTTATCACCAATTAGGTTGTGTGGCCCTTTGGACATTTATAGTTGAACTCCTTTCATGATATTCATTCATTCAACTCATATCATTCTTTCTATCAATAAACGTTTGAACACTAAATGTGCCCTGGTCCTGGTACCCCATTTATTTTTGTAGTAATAGATCTGTTCACCGTATCTACTGCCTATAGTAACTGTCTACCTCTCAGCTTTTCATCTCTGGGGGATAAAAGTACCTTCCTGATCACTTCCCAATATTTGCTTCTGCTATACTCATTTTCTCATATCTGTATCATAATACTTGCAATATTATACTATAATTTTCTCTTCATATAGCTGTTTCCAAATCTTAGATGTGAGCTCCTTAAAGATTTCTTCACTAAATGCAGTGCATGAACAAATGGATAAAAAATTAAGAAGAAAAAAAAGGATTTCCTACTGATCAAATGAACCTGTTCCATTAAAGTAACATCATTTGTAGTTTGTAGCTTTTGTTTTCCAAAGCTGATAAGATTTGGTACCAATTAATGCCAACCCCCCGCCCCCATTTTCATCAAAATCATTTAACAACAACAACAACAACAACAAAACAACAACAAAAAAACAAAAAAGGAGGCAAAGTTGCCATTTGAGGTCTCTCCTGTCTGTTTCTTCAGCCATTTGTTATGTTCACTGCAAGACTGCATTCACAGTGTTAGAAAATTCAACAACGATGTCTGCTCATCTGGGTGTTTCCACTCAGCTCCCAGTTCTCCATCTTTTTCCTGCCATAAAATATCTTGATAGGAACAAGTATGCCCTTAATATATTTTCTAAAGCCCTTCTCTCTTTATATGTTTTTAATAGGGTGTATTTTTGGTGAAGATAACAAAAATGTATCCAATCATTTAGCTGCCATGCTTAAGAATAACTAGATAGAGGCTCCCTTGCAGAATGAAGAGATAACAGCAAAGATTTTCATTACCTTGAAGTGGCTTGGTAAATAGGTATGTCTGCCAAAGGCTAGTTGGAGAATGCTCGGTGGATGGATCCACAGGTAAGGGAAATATAGATGGTTTAAATAAATAGATGGGTACAGTAATATTAGGGAAGTTCACGAATATATAGATAGAATAAGAGTTAGATAAATGGGGAAATAATATGTGAATAAAGGTGTGAATGGTTTGCTAATGGAAGAATAAATTGGTACACAGAAGACTGATGGAACTGAGTGGCCGGATGGAATGAAAGACCAATAAATGTCTATGCCTCATCAGGAGAGCCAATAGACGGGTAAATGCTGTGGTATGACCAGAAGCAGGAGATGGTCAGGTGTGGATGGAGAGAGGGTGGTTAAAAGGAGGAAGAAATAGGAGAAGGGAAAAGGAAGCACTAAAGTTATTATGATGGTAACAGGAACTGGGATTTGTTACCTTGACAAGTCACAATTTTACCATGAGTCTGAGGAAATTGGAAACTCAATCATTGGTACCACCATTTACTTGGTATTTTAATTTACAAAGAACATGACTTAGTTTATCAAGTTATCTATGCTCCATCTCCTGTGAGGAGAGACTAAGTTTTTTTCTTTAATTTTTTAATGTGTATTTATTTTTGAGAGACAGACAGAGAAGAGACAGAGCTTGAGTGAGGGAGAAGCAGAGAGGGAGACATAGAATCTGAAGCAGGCTCCTGGCTCTGAGCTGTCAGCAGAGAGCCCGATATGGGGCTCAAACTCACAAACTGTGAGATCATGACCTGAGCTGAAGTGAGATGCTTAACTGACTGAGCCATCCAGGCATCCTGGGGGAGACTAAGTTTTAACAGGTTAGGAATGAGCTATTGTTTACCTATGAACCCAATAAGAAATAAGCCTCAAAAATCTAGCTCAGGGTCTTACCCAGAGGAGCTAGCTATGAGGTAAAGCCAACTGGAGAATTTTAACCTACTTTCTGCTGTATTCCAAATCGTAATTAGCCATTGACCCTAGGCTTCATTTGGGGGTAGTCTTGAGAAATCCAATGCTGAACGAGAAACAAAAACCATCATGAGAATTTTGAACTAGAACATACCAACAAGAATAAATTCACAAATGGTGCAGATGAGGAGTCAAAGAAAAGGAAGGTCAAGTGTTCAGTCTAAGATCACATATTTAGTTAATGGTAGAGCTAGGAAGACTTAGCTGATGTATAAATGGTCAATGAGAAGCTGAGTTGTAAGAAAGAGGTTAATAGCTATTCCTTCAAAAAAGCAGATGGGCAAGTGATGAAGATAGAGGTATTGGAATTTAACTGAAAGAGACGGATGTTTTAGAGAAGGCAATCAGAAGGGAGCTTCTTCCCCAGGTCTCCTTCTTATGCTATTTCCCATATGTATACTACAGTAAAACTGAAGATGGAGAAACAATTAATCCAATTACATACACTTTTAAGACTATATGTACATCATAGTCACCATATTTTCCTTGTATGTGCTCTGGTCAAAGTGGTTCTTGATTCAGTGTAATTAAGTCACAGGAACTGTTAAGAAGTGTCATTTTTCCCCCTGCAACTTCTCTATTGATTTCATTTTAGATTAGGTCAAGACATAATTTAGACTTTGAGGTTGCAGCTACATTTTCTATTATTTGTAAATGGCATAGATATTCAAATATATAGGTATCATATGCAAAGTACCTAGACTTCTACTCTGTGTGTGTGTGAAAGGCAGAGAGAGAGAGACAGACAGGGAGAGAGCTAGAGAGAGAGAGAAAGAGAGAGAGAGAGAAATAGGCTACTCAGTTTTCTGATTGCATCTACTCCCCAAAGCTTAAAGCACATATATGGGAGAAGTATATGGAAAAAGCTTAGCCTGCTTTTCTCCATTCCTGGATACTTAACAAGATGTCCTAATAAACAGCCCCCCAAAAGTTACAAATTTCTTTGAACTTTATTGATACACTGCACAATCACAACCATCTCGTATTCATCCTGAATTAGAAAAGGTTACAACTACAATGTAACATGCACAAAATTCAGGTAGTATATTCACCCTTAATACAATTATTGACAGAAATCAAGTCTTCATTGATTTTTGAAGGAAAAAATAAGAAAGAAAACAAAAGAAAAAGAATTCTAGAAGTTATACTCTTGTATCATGTGATAATTTTTTAAAGCATTTAAACATAGATTTGTTTTAAGGATAATTGTGAGAATGGACACACCCATCGTCTGACACAGCTATAACGGCACCATTGATAAGTCATAATTTTTTTTTTTAATCTAGAGGACTCTGAACTTGACAGATACATTTTCGTACACCCACACATTCCTCACAACTGCACTTTACAGGTCACAAAAAATTTTGAATGATTAAAAAGGCTCCCTTTAACTAACACAAGGGCAGCTATTATTACTTATCATCGCTATTATTGATATCCTTATAAATCTGCCAGTAATGTAGAATGCGGCCCTAGAAGGATAGTAGAGGGTTCATAATCTTTCTTTCTCCATTCCGTGACATGGAACAATCGTACACATTTTAAAAGGGCACCACTGAAAGAAACAAAAAGGAATCTATTTCAAAATACTGGAAATGAGGCTTAGCTGCTTACTTTCAGGATGAAGACAATGGCGCCTAATTAAGTCCACTCCACATTCCCTTGGACTCCGAGGATCCTGCACCTGAAGGCTCAATTGCACTGGTTCATCTCTGTCTTTCTGCCCTATCATTTAATTGCAAATCTATTTCTTCCTCCTTTCATTTACTTCTCTTCTCTTAAGTAAGAAATGAGGAAAATGAGAGTGGCATTTTTATTTGTTTGTTTTTAGTGATCATTAGGAGTCCTCATCATATGGTATCTTTTGAAAATGTTGCTTTCCTAGTTACACACCTGTGAAGTTTTACTGCAACTGCTCAAACTTATTTGTCTGAACATCAAAAGGGAAGCTTTGGATGGGAGAAGAAGAGGCAATTGGGTGTAAGCTTCTAGGAATATAGCTTATGTGAAACAAAACCAAAACATCCTAACTGTTGGAGAAAAAGAAAAAAGTAAATTTGCCAACAAGAAGAATTTAATGTTCCTTCACCCAATTCCAAATATATTAAACTTTACTTTAAATAAGGTTTCTTTTTTTTTTTTTTTTTTTGGAGGGGGGTTAGGTAGGAAGGGGAAGTGGGCTGGTTCCAGGTGAGGACTTGGGGTCAAGTTGGAAAAGTTAACCCCACCCCCATACCCCACCTCATCTTGAGCCATTCCTCCCTCTTTCTCCCCAGCTCTGATGACATCCATATACAACTACAGAGGAGAGAACATTCCTCCTGGCACTGGAAGCACCAACCACAACTAGAGTATTCCATTTCTCAACACAATGGCAATGATAAGCTTTCTTTGAGATTGACTGCTCACTTGGAGGTTCTCCGCTCTTTTCACATAAGAGTTCTTCCAAAATAAGCAGAACTTGTTAACACCGCCATGTTGAGACCAAGTTGACTGGATCCATGCAGAAACAGGTCCTTAAACTTAGCCTTGGTTGTGGAGTTTTTGGAGTCCACTTCCACCCAGGGGAAAACACTTCCCACCCAGGTTTTGAGAAGGAACTGCCCACCTGTGGAAGGTATCATCTAGTATGAGGCATAGGTTTCAGGGGACAAAGACCAAGGCCTCTTTTTCATAGAAAGCCTTACCTTTCCTTCTATTCCAGCTAGCATAATTGCTGCAGAACAGCCATGCACAATGCTCCCTGCATAACATATGTGCATGTTTTGACCACTGCTCACCTAGACATCCCCTCTCCCCCATTTAAAACAGGAATGAAAAAAACTAAACACACTTGCTTAGACTTGCAGATGACTGTATCAGGCACTTGACTTTAAACTACTGAAAAACAACCTTGACCAGAGCCTTAACACTAGCTCATTCATTGGCATTACTTTAGTGGAAATACATATCAACTGTGTTTTCGGAAGGGAAAAGGTTGCAGAGTAAGTACATTGCTAAATTTGTCACATCTAATCTCCTGATAAGTCTTATTTGGTTTCCTTCCCATGTAGAAAAACCATGAAGAGTTATAGGTTTCTCAGAGTTTTGTTTATCTTCCTTCTTTACCCCTACTCCCATTCTGACCATTGGCACCTTGAAAAAAATCTATCCAGAAGACTTTATCCATCTACCCTCCATATGGGAAGCTGAAAAAGCATGTGTGATAGTGGATATTGTCCTTAATAGCATTTAATGTTCTATATGCTTCAAATGTTGGGTAACAGCTACTGTTCGATAGAGCCATCCCCACAAAAGTAACCCAAACAACGCAGAAGCTGAAGTATGTCTATAGCAAAGAAGAGCCATTTTCTTTCTTAGTGCCCCATTTTCTTGGGTCTTATTTACTTGGTTTTCTTTATCCCAGATGGATGAGGATTGACTGAAGGATATTTTTGCCCTCTGAAACACAGCTGGAATAGGCAACCACCAGAGGTGCTTCCTGGTATCCAGTGGAAAAGGGCAGCACAGAGTTCCATAGTGACTCTGAGACTCAGCCTCATCATGTTCATAAGGTTCTGGTGATCTTGCTGGCCAGAGGAGGATGGGTCCCTTCCTCTAGAACAAGCCTTGGCATGAAGAACATGTATAGCTTGTCCATTTCAAGCACTGTGTTCTCCAAGACCGTTTATTACCCAGAGCCTCCATATTTATTGTACTCCAAAGTAACATTTATTATCAGTAGAACACTCAAATGATGCATTTAGTCTCCATACAGTGTCTGACACCAACCTGACTCCAGGTGCAGAATGTGATGACAGATCTGAAACAATGATGTCCGACCTTTAATTCTGACTTTGCGTCTGCTCATGATTGTCCCTGGAACTTGGAATCAATACACTGCTTTTGGCACATCATTTATATTCCCAGAATCTGGCTCCTGGCAGCTCACTAGAAAATGCAGATGTCTGTTTACAGCTGGCAAATGTAATATTAATTTCACTTGCACCATCTCCAACTCTTACAAAAGTGCCTAGCATTTTGTATGCCAAGACTACCTACCTTTGTATACGCGTATGTATATATGTATGTCATATATATCTAAGTATATATTACTCCACTGTGCACGTCATGTTCATGTGCCACTATGAACAAAACACAGAGGCCATTTATATTGGAGGAAAAGATCAATTAAGCATTAAGTGAATGGAGCTCTATAAAGCTCATACTTATTATTTTTTAGACTGTGGACCTCAAAGTTTCCCAACTGAAGCAGGGAAGGCCTGTGAGATAGTCACTGTTGATGCTTCTTTCCTTTATCATCGTCTCAGTAGGTCAGTCCTTGCAGCATGGGTAAAGAGAGACATAACCTTGCATGGTTTTCAATGCCATTCTTTTGGATTATAAGCTCCCTTGTTGGCTGTGTCTTTCTTGTCCCAGGAAATGATGCAGAAAAGTCAGGTCAGCTCTTGTTTATCTGCTGGATCTGCTTTGAACATGGAAAACTGAGGACATTCTTCCCCAAAGCCACTGGAGAAGCAGCCTGAATCAGAGGAAATTGTGTGTCACTTACACTTTCCCCTCCTGTTTGCAGTGTTGTGTTAATCAAGTGCTTGGGAATTAAGTCAGTTGCTCAAGTGCCCTCAGCTCAGAAGAGCTTCCTGAAACAAATACCAGAGTTGTCAACACACCCACCATGTAATTGGCTTCCATCAGCTTTTTACTGGATAGTTTTCAGACAGATTAAACCAAAACTGGAACAGGGAGGAGACAATAGCTGAAGTCATTGCACTCAGACAGGTGGATTGCTCTTTTCACTGCAGAGACAGATACATGTTTCCTCTCTTCTGTTCTTGCTATTAATAAAAACCAGCCATGGAGTAAGTCCCATAGGTTTCTGACACACATTTTTTTGAAAGGCAGAAAGAAGCATGAGATTTGGCATCTTGGTCCTTCAAGTGTCAAAGGGAAAAAACAAACAAACCATATCACTGATCAAGGCCTTTCCAGGGCTGATCTGCTTCCCAAGAAGATGCTTTTGGAAATGGAATCTCCAGGAGTAGTGAGTGACTGGTCCTTAGATTGTTACTTTGGTCCGTCTGTTAATGGCATCTACTTTGAGTGGATGGCATATCACCTTCCAAAGAGTTCATGACATATTGCTTTTCTATGTTGTTAGCCTGTGAGACCACTGGCTTCCATATGAAAGTTGATAGGTAATTTTGAAGATGCCAATGTCTGCTGAAGGTAGAGGAGAAATGAATACAGTAAAATAGACACAATATGATTAGAAACTAATATGGTGATGAATTGATAGTGAGTAGTAGGAAAGAAATAGAGAGAAGTATTAGATAATTACATTGATAGATTGATAAATAGAGTAAATAGATTGCTACAGAGAAAGATGGGTGGGTAGATAATTGGAGGGAGCGATAAGTCACACAGTCAAGTAGATGGATAACCATATGATTCCTGTGATAGCTTGATAAGCCCTAAATAATCAGTCATTTATAGATCATTTTGTTTTATAAGTTAGACAGCATTTTTAAAAGAGAAGTACTATCCTCAAAATGCTCCCTCCCTTTTTGGTGAAGTGACTTCTAAACTTTTACTTTTGGGTTGTGTGACTAGCCCCAAGCCTCTAACCCCCACAGCAATAGAGAAAGTGAATAGGGCAGAGTGGCTAGAGAAGGTGACGAGGATATCCATATATATATATGGATATAGGTATACTGAGATAGCTTCCCAGAAAGAAAGAACGTGAACCCAAATGTAATTAGATAATAATAAAAATGGAGGAGGGATATGTACATTATAATAAAGAAAGTGGCCCAAAGCTTAAAAGACACGGATAATAGGACACTTGGATATAACTCTTGCTGTGCACTACATTGTAAGTCAAGTTGTGTCTTCAGGGTGTTTTTCATGAGGCACGTTTTTGCCCAAATGGAGCTTATGGTTTGGTGTGTTGGGGGAGGAGAAGTTTGTAGTGATGATGATGGTTGAGGAGCAGAGGAAAGGGAAGGGCCCAGGTAGCAGGGATAGATTCCATTTTTGGACACACCAATGAATGATTATCCTACACATGGTAGAACCCTGCCCACCCCTCCCCCCAACCCCACTCATTCAAACTGGAGAAAAAAATCAAATTAACCAAACCCCCCAAAAAATCAAGAAGAAGAACAGAAACAAACAAAAAGAAGCCCAAACTGGTTTGCCCTCCGCAGTGTAGATTAAAGTCTGTGATATGGAGAAGCAGGCGTTGCTCAGAGGACCTATGGTTTCTTATCAAAACTTGATGAAGAAGTGGGCCAAGAGGGTCCCTGATAGCCAGAGACAAGCCAGTGCTCTAGAGGCCGAGTTTACACCATCAATGACTGCTCCAGGCCCTGTGTAGGGGAAAGAGAGACAGACCCATTAGCATGCACCTAAAGGGTACCATACTTATTGCCTGACAAGCAAATATACGAGCATGCTTCTCTGTGAGCATTCCCCTATCTCCCACCTCCCACCATCAATCCCTCCAAATCTGGACAAATGGAAAACACCCACTTGGAATATTGAAAAACCCAAAGGTGCAAACTGCTGGCATACCTTAACCACTACAGCCTGCTCTCAAAAGACTGAGGTTTAAAAAATAAAAGGGGTAGAGGGAGACAATGGCAGTCATTACGCCAATGGGCTGAAAAGTTAGAGCAGCAGACAGGGCTAAGCGGTATGGCAGGACCTGACTGTTGCTCCATAAGCAGCACCTCTAACTGTGGAGATGGTGTCCAAAACAGACAGGGATGAGAGCATCAGGACAGTCAGGAGTGGGAGACGGTCCACAGTGGAGAGAAGGAGGTAGGGGAACGGAGGAGAGAGGAATGGGAACATTTGTGAGCAACAGGGGTCTATGTGTTGGGGTGGCCAACTTTTGACCCCATATAACTTGGGTATTGTGGAAGCTCCTCTTGAAGTAGTTGAGGAAGAATGGATAGTTATACTCTAGAGTTTTAAAGACTATGGTTGGGTTTATCCCAGTAGTAGCAGTGCCTCTCCCAAAGCCACAAAGACTCTGTGTTGTGTGCACGTTGCCACCTAACGGTGTGGCCTGATGGAGTTCTCCCTTTGCCCTTTCTTCTGGCCTCTTTGGCTCTTTTAAAGGCCCCTAGTGAGTCATCCATGCTCCACTGTAAGGCAAGACCATCGAGTCACAAGTGTTGGTCCTTTCACTTCATCTGCCACCTTTGAGAAGACAGACCACATGAATTGGGATTGTCCTGGTCTATTTTTAGGACCCAGGGCACATATATTAGCGTCTAATTCACCTTTCTAATCGCCCATCAGCTTTATTTGCAAAGCATAAGAAACTGGAGTCATAAGCGAGACCAGTAGCTTAGACAAAGAGGATTCCAGGGAACCAACTACAGGGAATCAACTATAAGGTGGGAGTGAGAAGCCATCAAGAGGCATTCCTGTAGAGCCAGTGGCAAAGAAAGGGAGCTACCTTCTCAAGCCAGGGCTTCCCTGATGCTTTTAGAAGCAAATTGGCTTATTGGAAATAAGCATGATTACTTTAAGAAGCACAGCTGGTGCAGAGACTCAAGACAGCACGATGGTGTGGATCCCTGCCTTGCCTAGGAAGAGACTGATGCTAAACTTTTGCTTTGGGAAGTACAAGCCCCTCACTTTAGCAATGAGCATGTAACTGTTCCCAGTCTAGGAATTTTCACATGGATACCTTTCCTTCCTCTGATTTACAATGTAACACAATTCTCCTATTGACTAAAAATTCACATTTACTCCCTACCTTGAGAATCTGGCTCATACGGCTCTGCATTTTGGTTATAGAGCATTCACAAACAAGGGCAGGATCCAGGCACAAGCCCAGTGCCATCGTCTCCATGAAGGCTCCCTACATATTTATGAAACGTAGCCCGACTCTGAAGCCTCCATCAGTCAAGACATATATCCTAAGGAACCATCCTGGCCTACAGAATGTACAAAGTTGAAAATGCTCAAGTTGGAGCTCAAGGCTATTCTATATATTGTTTCCTTCAAATGATGAATGATTTAGATTTTTTTAATGAGTTTATAAGAAAATGAGCAATACAGATTTGTAAGACATATATGTCTCCTTAAGAGTATCTATCTATCTCTATCAAATATATATTATATTTATAATGTTATTTATATATAGATATATATTCTAATAATGCTTAATATAATATTTATAATAATAATATTTGTATATTACATATGGAGAGGACATACATTAAACTGTGTGTGTGTGTGTGTGTGTATCTTAGTCTAATTCATGATGCTGATATTAACTTAAGAAACAATGAAAGGCCTAATAAGCTACACTCTAGAGAGACAGAGATCTTTAGTGTGGGAATCACTTCATTCCAAGTTCTACCAGTGGACTTAAGCACTTCTGTGGATACCATGCTACCAGCACAAGGTTGGATATAGCTAAAAAAAAATAAAAATAAAAAAAAAACAGTATATGAGGAAGGCAAAGCATGAAGGCTGAAGTACAGAGAGAGAAGGAGGCAGAATCATAAAGAGAAATAAGTGTTTCTAGTGGTGTGTGGCAGATGCAATAAGATGTTCATTACTGATCAGGCAGAGGGTTTATAGCCACAGTTAAACTTCAGTTGAGTGTTCCATAGAATGGAAACCAAGCCATGAGGGTGACTTAGCAGACATAGAGACTGTTCAGCTTGCTTAGGATGATGATGGTAACAAGTATTTACATTGTGTTCTCTCGTTGCAAGCAGGATTCTAAATGCTACACGCATATTAATGCATTTAATCTTCACAAAGTCTATGAGCTATGGACTACTGACTTTTCCATTTTATAAATGGAGAAACTAAAGAACAGAGCAGTTAAGTACCTTGGTATGGTCACACAATTTAAATACATAGGGCTGGATTAGAACTGAGTCACTCTAGTCTATAGAGTCTGTAACTTTGATTGTTACCACTCTACTTCCTTTCTGTGTAAAATGACCCCTTTGTGCATGTTTTCTGGGAGCACAGCAACGCAAAGTGATAGGTACAGCTGGTTAGGAGTCTGGGTACTTTATTTCTCTGTGTGACTCTGCTGCTCCCTAGCTGACTGGCATCTCCTCTCTGGCCTTGGTTCTCCATCTAAAAAAGTAGAGGAGGTTGGGGTTAGTGACCTTTAAAGCTCTTCTGTTATTAGCATTTCGAGTTATTGTATGAATGGAAAATCTACATCTGGTACTAGAAAGGACAGCTGGTGAGCAGCCAGATGGCCCTTTCCAGTTGGTACAAAACCATCACTACTCTGGCTTTTTGCACCTCAGCATGTCATCTCCTAAAACAGCAAGAGGGCACCAAACATTCCTGGACCCCAGAATTTCCTTTTCTATGGCCACATTTTCTATGCAGCTTCAAGGAGCTTTACTCTTCAGCAGGTGTGATGAACCTTGCTTTATATATCAGACAATATGTTAATTTAATGCCAAACTGCCTTTGGTCAATCAATCTATGAGCAATGGCTGAGCTAGTCTGTCCAATGAGTTAATCTAATCCACTATAATGGTAATTAAAATTAGCATCGTTTCCCTCATGGATCCTGCACACATTTGAGATTTGGCAGCTGGGCCAAATGTCAGTACAATGAGGGACCTATAGGAGGGCTCTTGTACCTTGCTCAGAGCAGAAAAAGAGGCTCACGTGTGTGCACCACTCTCTAGGTTGGAGGAATGTGAAATAAAAGCCATCAGCTATGAACTGTTTTTTTTTTTTAATTGCATGATTATAGTAACCCTGATTATACTATTAGTGAAGAAAAGAACCCATTTGGTTTGGGTCTCTCCCTTAGGGTTTCTGTTTGCTAAGGCCACTCACCTGATTAGTGATGTGCTTCTTTGTGCTTTAATAGAGATTACCACTGTTTAGCTAATTGGTGTGGTCCCATGATCACTCAGGGCTTACTTTTGGTCCCTTAGGCAGGTAGGAGGCTTTTGCAAATGTTTGTTCAACAAATCTGTTATGGGAAGGGCATGCTACTGGAGAATCACTTCACCTGAGCTGAGCAGTGGTAGTACTAAAGCTTGAACACACATCTTTAGATGTCAAGCTAACTATGGTTTTCCTATACCTTGGTATACCTGTTTCTTCAGGTAACAGCAGCTACATGGACTTCTCCAAGTACTCAGTATCCAAGATAATAGTAGTATTAATTTCAGTAAACATGATCAGGAATTCAGATGGTGCTTTCCTCCTCTTCCCCCCCTCCCCTTCTTCTTGGTGGAAATGGGGAGAAATTTAGTTCTTATTTCAAACTTAGAATCTAGTATTTGGATACATGAAGTGGATTTTCAATTATGTGTTCTACTACAGAAAACTAACTCTGAAAGGCATCTGGATAAAGGACAAACATTTGGAGGAAAGATGGGGCCAAATGCCAAAAGAACAGAATCCCTGGATGCACAGGTAGAATAGACACCTTTTATGAACCTTAGGAAAGGTTTTGGATGCATCTGTACTCCTAGACTTTGCTGTCTTGTCTTTGCAGCCTTAAATCTCCTTTGAGATGAAGTCACTTACCACTATAAAAGTACAACCAATCCTGGAAACTTTGGAGTCAGACCAATTTGGGTTTAAATCCTCACTCTGTGGCATGCCAGCTATGTGATCTCAGACAAGGTTGTTTTCACTTTTCTTATTGTAAATAGAGCTACTAATACTGAATTTACAGAATGGTTAGAAAGTCAGACTGATTAGTATGGTGCCTGGTACAAGGCAGTCATGTGATCATGGAAACCACCACTATGACGCTTCCACACTCTTAGTTGAGGCTAATATTGTATTGTTTCAATTTTTCCCAAGTATGTTGAACCTGAGATGTGGTTTTGCTGGTGTCAGTGTGAGGAGGTGAGATCGTGAGATAGGGGTGTTTTTGCTGAGAGCGGCCATTACCATGAGGGCCCTAGAAGGATATGAGACATAGAGCAGAATTATAGGAGAGTTTCAAAGACAAGATCCATGCATGGCCCAAGGGCAAAGGATCAGCCTTGCAAGAGTAGGGGATCCCACACTAGCCTCAGAAAGCCACTGTCATTCACTCAGCAAGTATTGTTTGGGAGGCTGCTGTGAGCCAGTCTGTTTTCAGAGAGAAAGGTGGACACAGTGTGTGTTTGACAGAGCTTATACTTTAAAAGGGCCTGGAATATCCTTTCTCCTAGTCTACATTACTCAACAAACAATTGAAAAAAGGGAATAAATGAGGAAGGAAAAAAAAAAAGGAAGGCAGGAAGGCAGGAAGGCAGGAAAGAAGGAAGGAAGGAAGGAAGGAAGGAAGGAAGGAAGGAAGGAAGGAAGGAAGGAAGGAAGGAAAATTTTTAAATGCTTCCAGATTCAGAGAAGAAAG